AATGCAAGGAGATACTCATGAGCAGGTAGCCTAATTTCCCTTTGGGTTGATTCCATACTTTGGTCAGTTGAGCCCCTTGGGCAGTGCTCTCTAAACAGCTCTTTGTGACCAATAGAAAGCTTCTTGGTTTATGGATGTCAGTTCCAAGATGAATGCACACCATCCTATTTGTCCCCTGTTACAAACTGTCACTAAGAGTGTAACAGCCTCCAGTAAATTTTGAATCCTCCTGGCAAATTGTTGAACCTGAGAGTGATTCCAGGAACCTCCTGGACCTGTTAGAGTCAGTCTCATGGAGAACTGTATGACATTGGACTGTGTAGCTGGCCTGAAGCTCCTAATACTTATTTCAGATCTTTCAGAATCTTTATTTTACTTTATTTTAATTCTGCCATTGTTGTTGCTGTTGTTTATCAGTCACTGAGTTGTGTCTGATTCTCATGGACTGCAGCACTCCAGAATTTCATTGCACTGCTTAATTTAATGCAATAAAACTCTACTGAACCTTTATAAACTTTCATCACTATAAATGGAGAATGATATTTCAAATTTATTAAGATGACAAGCATGCCCTTCAGTGAATAATGGCATCTAGAATTTGAAGAATTGCCTTCATGCAATATATATTCCTATTCTCATATCCATACATAGTCATAGATATATGATGCATTTTGTCAATTAGTTTTGTTATCATTATTCATTTTCATATAGATGCCTAGGAAAAACTATTAATTCTGTGGCTAAAAATATGCTTTTATTTTTTGAATATGTGTGGATTTCTTTCCTTTTCTTTTTTACCTCATTGTTTGCTCCTAAGATCCAAACAGGGCAATCTTATCTTCTGCTGATTTTGATTCATTTGAAACAACTTGGGATTCCATAATTTTATTTTAGCAGGATTTTTACACTTGCTATTTCCTTAGGCACTAGAACAACATTCACATTAAATAGATTTTATTACTCTATACTATGAGAAAGCATTTTTTATTTATTGAGTTTGTATTCAGTAACCAAACAGTCTTGAATTTGAATTTTTGCTTCATGACTTACTAAGTTGAATTCTTAGCTACGTTTCAGTTTTTCTCACCTGAATTTTTAAGATAATTGACTCAGTATCTTCCAAAACATACCATTGTTTCTATAATGATTGTCATACTTAAGGGAAACCCCAATGCTCAAGTGCAATACAGTTTGCAAAGCGCTTACTCCTGTGTATTATACAGCAATCTGCAAATCCCTTGTTTCCAGTTCTCCGTGACAAGCCTTGTTTCACAATAGTGCAGCATTACCGGTACTCTGTGTCAATATGATGGGTTTAAATTCCAATCATTTCAACCGTTAGGGTTCTAGAATTTAGCTGAGTCTTCACTATAGAGAAGTGTGGTAAGGTAGTTCTGATACATGCACATTGTTCCCTTTTGTTACACCTCGGGTGTTTTACTCTCTAACCACACAAACATGCTCTAATAAAGACGTGCTCTTTTTTATTTTTACTGATTCTGATTATAACCTCATTCTTTCATATAATCTTTCTGCTGTGTGTTCCCCTGACCTCTTTTAGCCCCATTTCTCTCACGCCTGTTGCTTACCTCCTGTTTTACCACTAGATGGTACTCACATATTTTTGGTATATTTGAAATACATAACTTTGTTGTTTGCTAAGCAGAATTTAAATAATTTAGAAATATGACTAACTCTAAATATAAAGTCTGAGCAAATCACAATTTTGCATGCTTTTAGTAAATTTGGTTACAATTATATGCATTTCATAGAAAAATAAAATGCAAAATATATATAGTTTTTCTCCCTGATACTTATAATGTACTTTTTCAAAATTTATTTTAAAATGTGGATATAGAAGAATGACAATGATACTTACTTTACACTACATATATAAGTATACTTTTAAAAAAATTCTTAATACTTTGTTTTTAGGTAGCCCATGTTCCCATAAATTTCATCTCAGTTTGTAGTACACACTTTGTCTTTCTGTTTATCTGGTACTTAATCCTCCCATGGAACTATTGACTTTTAATTAAAGAATACATTTGATTAAAATTATCTTTTGGTTTTGTATTGTTCAACCACTATTCTAAATATTATACATTTTTTAAACATTTTATCATTGCATCAATCAAATGAGAAGCAATAATACTGTTTTGGTTCTCATTTCACGTACTAGGAAACTAAGAATTAGAGAGGTTAAGTAATCACCCCAAGCCACACAGCTACCTATTTATGGAGCTTAGAAGCTGTTTCCTTTAAATCCCACAATCTTAATTATTATACTAATATTATACTAATATATTAATAATACTAATAATATACAAATTATTATACTAAGGTGGTAGTGATGGTTTTATTATTATAAAAGTTTGTATTCTTTGGAAACAATGAAAAATTATTTACTCATGCATTTCTTAAAGTAAATAAAATTTTCTAGTTTTGTAGTGTCTGTGGAAATACTATCAATACATATAATCTCAATCTGGTCAAACTTGGATAGTAAGGATCAGTGGTAGATGAAGAGATTTTATTATAATGACAACTGTATCAAAATTTAGCTCTCATTCCTCTATTTCTCTACTGTTCATTGATATTAATCTAGTGTTTCTGTGTCAATTTGTTTCTGTGTTTTCAAAGGGGAAAATATATATATACAAAACCTTGTTTAAAGCAAGAACTATAACAAAACAAAACTTGATTTTATCCATAACCTATGTCTAAGCATCAAGTTGCTTAGAAATGTATATTTAGGAAGTTACATTTTGAGCAAATTAAATTAACATTTTTATATTGCGTGACTTCAGGTTGCTCTTGAACACTAAAAGCAAGAAATTTTGCCTAACAATGTGATTTACTAAAACAAATCCCTTAATTCCAGTTCAGTAGTGATTATTTTTACTGATAGAAGTTTGAAATCAAAATCAATGGCATTTGGCTTAGAAGATTACCTTATTTATATGTACATGTATATATATATGTATATGTATATAGACAAGATGGTCGTGGAATAAACTATCAACAAGAAAGAACTAAACTCATCAGTATATGGGGAGAAATATTAACTTCAGACCATTATTTAGAGAAGAGTAAGGAAAGGAGACATGGGATAAGGAGGATGAGAAGGTAAAAAAAAAAAAATGAAGTGAGCGCAAAGAGAATATAGCATTTAAAGAACAGTGTGTTCGCAATGACAAACTGGGAAATTGAAAGCTTGGATAGAGTAGTAGTGTAAGTCGCTCAGTTGTATCTGACTCTTTGTGATCCCACAAACTGTAGCCCTCCAGTCTCCTCTGTCCATGGGATTCTCCAGGCAAGAATACTGGAGTGGATTGCCATGCCCTCCTCAGTAGTAAATATATGTTAACATAATTTTTAATGTCTTTCAGTATGATAGTTTGCTTTAAAACTTCCCAATTTCTACCTTCTCGTTCCAAGGATACTCAAAATCTACATCACACGAGCTTAGGTGACACCTTGTAAGATAAGACAGATTCAATATTCTGACAACTAGGGAAGAAAAAGTACTATAGAATAGAAGGTGTAGAGAAGGCAATGGCACCACACTCCAGTACTCTTGCTGGAAAATCCCATGGATGGAAGAGCCTGGTGGGCTGCAGTCCATGGGGTCGCACAGAGTCGGACACGGCTGAAGCGACTTAGCAGCAGCAGCAGAATAGGTGAGGTTCAGAACGGAGAGTGCAAACCCTGAGGAAGGACTGTCAGAGCCAGAATTGCTTAGGGGTGAAGCATACACCTCTTCCAAGAATCTCTGAAGATAAGGAAGGGATTTTCATCATGAATATAATAGAACAAAAGCCATTTGTTTAGGGAGTTGGCCATTTTCAAGCACACATTTAAGCTAAATTTGGGGAGTATATATGGTAAATACATACATATAAATATAAATATATATTTATATATGCATGTGTATTTCAACTCCAATTCTGTAATTATACTATTGTATTTTTTGCAACCAAGTTTCTCTATATCTGTTGCACTTTTTCAGATGACTGGCAAAATGTTATGAGAGCTATAGAAGACATATATATAAGATGGCCAGTTGCAGCATACTGTGTAACAAGAATACATAAACACACAGTATAAGCTCTGTCAATGGAAGATTGAGTTTACAATCAATACCTCTTTTTGAGCAATTTAAATGAAATGCAATGACTGAATAATTTTAAGAAAAAACCAGAATGTCTATTACCATGCCACTTAAAAATTCATGGAATGCACACATGAATTTTTGCTTGTATGAATGCTCAACTAGTTATAGTTTGAATAGTGACTGCCTCTGAGGGAAAGTTGTGGAAAATTCTGGAAATAAAGTTAAAGGGTTAATTATTCTTCACAGTTTACTCATTTTAGTAATCTCATTCTCATTTTTTTTTCTTTTTACCACATGTCTGTAGTACCTACTCAAATGAACAAAATACAAACATGAGAAAATATAACTATTTAAAACAGAAGATTAAAGAGAACTCTTTGTAATCCAGACAGCTGTTGCTTCTCCTGGACATTGTGTGTAGCTTCTGATTACAGATGTGAGTGTACATGGAAGAGAGGGAGGCAAGGTTAGTGGATTTCTCATTCAGGCAATGAGTTTTTCTCTGTATATATTCCTGGTTGGACTCTGCCTTGTTTCTTCTCTGGATGTCAGTCTTCATTCAAGGAGACTATTTTGTTAAAATTTTATGTGTGACAGCATTAAAATTATCAGGAATGTTTCTAAGAAAGGGGAGGGCAAACAACAAAATATCAACAACAACAACAAAATACCCAAATAGAAGAGACATGACCTGTACATTTATCTTGCCATACAGATTTGTAAAATATTTACTCAGTCATTTGAGAATGGAGTCAAATATACTTAAACTGTAGAAATTTTGGAAATATCAACTTGCTCAGAAAACTAAGAATGTGGCTTTTGTGATGGATGGAACTGTGTCCCCTCAAAATTCTTATATTTAGAACTAACCCCCAATTGACTGTATTGGAGAGAGGGCTTTTAGGAGGTAATTAAAAATAAATTAGGTCCTAAGGGTGGGACCCTGACCCAAGAAGATTGGTGGCCTTATAAGTAGAGGAAAAGAGAGAGATTTTTTTCTCACTCTCTGCCACATGAGGGCATAAGGAGAAGGCAGCTATCTGCAAGCTAGGAAAAGAGCTCTTACCAGGAACAAAGTAGGCTTATATCTTCATCTTAACTTCAATTTCTCTAGAGCTTAAAGAAGTAAATTCCTGTGGTTTCAGCCATTCGTCCATGGTAAGCAAACTATTGAAGATGGAAATAAAAATTTTATATGTTACCAGCCCAAGAACTACAAAGAATTAAAAAAAAATCTAGGTATCAAAATAGTAAATGATTAGATATAATTAAATGTAAAATTAGCATAATATTTAAATTTACCTTTACAATTTAGATGCTTAACATATAAAATGTACTTACTAGAAACTGTCCATATGTTATAAGGTAAAATAGATTGCCACCTTCAGGACCTTCTCAGGCCAATCTTATATTGCTACTTTCATTTGATGATTGAGTGCTGCTGTGTGTGGCCGAATTTGTGTCTGGATAAATCTGATAACCCTCAGTTCACAATTGGGAGCTCACTTCACTTGCATGGTAAATTGGTGACCCATGATTAAGCACTCAGTGTCTGCTAAGACTTAGCAGTAGACAAAAAGCTGTTTCTCGAAAGTAGAGTAATTATCTGCAGAAGACAGCAGAACCTTTCTTCTAAACCCTGGGGGACTGCACTGTGAGTCACTTACTGGTCAAAGGATCCCAATAGCTCAGTCACTGTTGGATCATACGGTTCAAGGAACAGAACAACATATAGCAGCCTGGACCTATTGTAGAGCATTCTCTTGTTTTGGCCCCCACTCAAAATTAGCAGCTCTTAGGTCACTTGGTAAATGAACTTGCACAACACACCCAAGTAAGGACTATGTTGTCTCTAGAATCCAAAGAAGACCATGAGCTATTGTATCACTTTTTTTAGCTGTAGGAGGGACTAGATGCAACAACTTACCCTTCAGTTTAGAGGGGATAGCTCAATATGCTCCACACCACTGGTCCCCTAGAAATTTCACTTTAGGTAGAAAGCTCTGAAACTTTGTTCGATTTATTTTGCACCATTTGATACACAAATGTCTCATCAATAGAGTTAGAGGATCTGCCCCTTCTTGCTTACTACATCTAATCAGAGTAATGACATCAATGTAATGGATCACTGTGATATCCTGTGGAAGGGGAAGATGATCAAGATCACAGAAAATTAAATTATGACATGGAGCTAAAGAGTTGATATACAACAGAGGTAGGATAATGAGGTGTACTACTGGCCTGACAACTAAAAGCAAATTATTCCTGGTGATCTTTATCAACAGGGATGTTATTTTTTTTTTTTTTTTTGCCAGCTCAGTAGTTGTATACTTGTTACCTGGGAATGTGTTAATAGACTCAAGCAATGAAAGCATATCTGGTGAAGTTCCTGCAATTTGGAGTCACCACTTGGTTACGCTTGTGATAGTCAACTGTCATTCTCCAAGATCCACGTGTTCTCTGTGCAGACCTAAAAAGGTAAATTGAATGGGGATGTGGTAGGAATCCCCTATAGAGAAGAACAATTACAGAGCAATTCATCTCTTCTGATAACACTGGATGACTTTTCTTCTGGACTATCCCAGTCAGGGTAAGATGTTCTTAAGTGATAAATCCACTCACACACCCCAGTCTGTTTAACTCTTTGAATCTCTTGCTCTATAGTAAGCCAACTCATGTCCAGCATTTCAGGTTCATTTAATGTGGGCCAGCTTTTCTTTCCATGTTTCAGCCAACCAAGCAAGCAACCTGATAGAGTCCTTTAAAATTCTCTAAGTTGCAGTAGTAAATGTATAGATTTCTGTATGAAGGGCCCATATCAATAAATTTGGTCTATTCCAACTATGTGATACTTCCATCATTAAGGTGCATCCTTAATGTGGATTCCCATATATATTCCTCAGATTTCTATCTATATAAATTAGAAAAATCAAGTAGTTTTGGAGGATAGCACACTTTCTCCTGGGCTTCCCTGGTGGATCAGACAGTAAAAAATCTGCCTGCAATGCAGGAGACTTGGGTTCAATTCCAGGGTAAGGAAGATCCCCTGGAGAAGGGAACAGCTTTCCACTCCAGTATTCTTGCCTGGTGAGTTCCATGGACAGAGGAGCATGACAGGCTACAGCCTATAGGGTCACAGAGTTGGACATGACTGAGCAACTAACACACACACCCACTTTCTCCTGGGTCAAATTTCACACCTCAGTTTTAGGAGCTTACGGAGACTTGAGTCTAGTGATATATCTGAAAGCAAAGAGGGATTAGAAATTAGTCAACAGTGTTGTGTAAGGCAGCTTCCTCAGGGGAGGACATTACATTTTCTTCAGGCAATAAGAGGCTGCTCGTATTGACAAATAGGTCATCAGAATTTAGAGACTGAATGTCTCCAGTTTCCACATTCCAACTTTCAGTATACCCACACCTTCTCAATCACTATTCTCACTTTAGCAGTTGACATCCTGTGACCCTGGCCATTCAATTTGCATTGTGATTGACAGGATGAGATTGTGGGTTTGGTTTTAACAATCTCAGCCATGTGATTATAGGAGATATGGGTCTCTTTCAAGGCAGATGTAGAAGCTTCCAGGTCATTTTTGTATCTATTACCTGGAAATTCAAATTGCTGAACTCATCCTATTCTTTATCTACTTTCTTCAGAAAGAGGAGCAATAGCTAATCTTATTTTACTCATTTATTTGGCAAAAAATATTTGAAGGCATCATATAAATGTTCAATCAAATCTTTGCCTCATAAATGCTTTATTATAAGTATCCAATGATTGTGTTTTGCATTTCTCTATTGTTATATCACACGATGAACTATCAGTGTTCTCTTTGCTCCTGGAAATTGAGATTTCAGTATCTATAAATCTAATCAGAGTAGAGAACTAATTTTAGAAACCCTAAAGCCAATTCAGAAGATTCATTCTTAAGACTCTATCCCTCACTACTGGTACCAAAACCTGTACAAGTCAGGGTTTCCCAAAGAAACCAATAGGATGTGTGTGTGTGTGTGTGTGTGTGTGTGTGTGTGTGTGTTTAGAGAGACACAGAGATAGATAGAGACAGAGTAACAAGAAATGTTTATTTTAATAAATCATATCACATGATTATAGAGGCTTCCAAGTCTACTGCTGCCAGGTAATCCAGAGGGCTGGAAAATATTTGATGCTGCAGTTCAAGTCCAAAGGCAGTCAGACTGGAGAGCAGAAAAAAGTTGATGCTGCAATTCAAGTCTGAACAGTTCAAGTCTAAAGGTCATTTCCTGGCAGAATTCCTTCTCACTCGGGAGAACTCAGATTTTTGTTCTATTCAGACCTTCAACTGATTAGATGAGACCTACCTACACTATGAAGTACATTCTGCCTTATTTGGAGTCCATTGATTTTTTTTTTTCCCTTTTTAAAATTTCATTTATTTTTATTAGTTGGAGGCTAATTACTTTACAATATTGTAGTGGTTTTTGTCATACACTGACATGAATCAGCCATGGATTTACAAGTATTCCCCATCCCAATCTCTCCTCCCACCTCCCTCTCCACCCGATTCCTCTGGGTCTTCCCAGTGCACCAGGCCTGAGCACTTGCTGGATGAATGAGACGAGTCCATTGATTTTAATGTTAACTTCATCCAAAATCACCCTCACAGGAACATCAAGGGTAATGTCTGAACAAATATTTGGGCACCATGACTCAGACAGGTTGATACCTAAAATTAAAAATCATACCCTACACTAACATGAGGCATAAGATTGTGTATCTTTCATTCAATACCAAATGCATTTTTATTTCAGTAGGTTTTACTACCCTTAGAAATTTTTCAGGAAAAAAAAAATTAATTAGTGTTTAAAATTTTTTTTCATTTTTTCTTTCCTTACTCTATAGAGTAATATATAGTCTATATTTCCTCTGTATGTAAGTGCTTTTAGCACGTTTTAATTTTTCCTGGTAATGAATAATGCCTAATTTCAGTGGCTTACAAAAACAGATTTTTATTTCCTCCTGTGGTGTCTGCATCTTTGTAGGACTCAGCTGGACTCCACAAGTTCTTTCATTTTAGAACTCAGGCTGAAGAAACATCTGATCTCTGGACATAATATTGTTATAAAAGAGAGCTCAAGAGGGGCAAGCATAAGGTGATGAACTTGGACTGCATACAAAGCTCTTTTTAAAAGATTCTGTTGTTGAAGGCTGTTTTTATGGACAATATCAGAATTGATGAGGTGGGAATATCCATTGTTTTTAATCTGCTGGAATGCATCAGAGTCACATAGCAAAGGGCAAGGACATATAATACTATTATCAATATATAATAAGACTTGTAAATAATAATCAAATCTATGACAATGTCATTAAAGAAAAGTGTTGCACTTAGATCAATAACATCATAACTAGGAAGCAAGTCTTTTCCAATTCATCCTGGCTTCTCTTTTGAAAAAAGTTTTTCACATTAATATATGGTGGAAGCATGAACATTATGATTAGCATGGATAATTTTTCATACACTCCAAAATAATTTTGCCTGGATTATAAAATCTGAATCAAAGGCACATAATAAAATTATTATTATATTTTCAATTTCTATTGCATTTATATTGTTTTGGGCTTCCTTACATGCTTAATTTGCATGTTCTTATTAATTGGCCTAAGGGATTACTTTTATTATCTCCATTTTAAAGAAGAGAAACAGGAAACATAAGTCTACCCAAGTATGTTTGACTACATAGGAAATAACACAATGAGAAATCAACTTCAATCATGTAAAAACCATAGTGTAAAATAGTTACTTGTGTATTATAGCACCAGAAATTGTAAATCCTATTTTTTCTATGTTTAAAATAATAAAGATGACTCTATATTTTCTTATTAAGAATGCCTAATAAAACCATGTAAGATATGTATTGATATCCAGATGATTTCTTCTAAAAAGAATGTGAAAATATAGATGCATATGTTCTCAAGATAACTTTTTCTAAAGATCTTTGCAAGCATTCAGTTCAGTTCAGTCACACAGTTGTGTCCGACTCTTTGTGACCCCATGAACCGCAACACGCCAGGCCTCCCTGTCCATCACCAACTCCCGGAGTGTACCCAAACCCATGTCCATCAAGTTGGTGATGCCATCCAACCATCTCATCTTCTGTCGGTCCCCTTCTCCTCCTGCCTTAAATCTTTCCCAGCATCAGGGTCTTCTCAAATGAGTCAGATGTTCGCATCAGATGGCCAAAGTATTGGAGTTTCAGCTTCAACATCAGTCCTTCCAATGAACACCCAGGATTGATCTCCTTTAAGCTGCACTGGGTGGTCTCCTTGCAGTCCAAGGGACTCTTCTCAAGAGTCTACTCCAACACATAGTTCAAAGCATCAATTCTTCGGCACTCAGCTTTCTTTATAGTCCAACTGTCACACCCATACAGGACAACTGGAAAACCATAGCCTTGACTAGACTGACCTTTGTTGACTAAGTAATGTCTCTGCTTTTTAGTATACTGTCTGCTGCTGAGTCACTTCAGTCATGTCTGACCCTGTGTGACCCCATAGATGGCAGCCCATCAGGCTCCCCAATCCCTGGGATTCTCAAGGCAAGAACACTGGAGTGGGTTGCCATTTCCTCCTCCAATGTGTGGAAGTGAAAAGTGAAAGTGAAATTGCTCAGTCGTGTCTGACTCGTAGCGACTCGATGGACTGCAGCCTACCAGGCTTCTCTGTCCATCGGATTTTCCAGGCAAGAGTACTGGAGTGGGGTGCCATTGCATTCTCCTTAGTATATGGTCTAGGTTGGCCATAACTTTCCTACCAAGGAGTAAGCGTCTTTTAATTTATGGTTGCAATCACCATCTGCAGTGATTTTGGAGCACCCCAAAATAAAGTCACCCACTGTTTCCCCATCTATTTGCCATGAAATGATGGGGCCAGATGCCATTTTCTTAGTTTTCTGAATGTTGAGCTTTAAAGCCAACTTTTTCACTCTCCTCCTTCACTTTCACCAAAGGCTCTTTAGTTCTTCTTCATTTTCTGCCGTAAGTGTGGTGTCATCTGCATATCTGAGGTTATTGATATTTCTCCCAGCAATCTTGATTCTAGCTTGTGCTTTATCCAGCCCAGCATTTCTCATGATGTACTCTGCATATAAGTTAAATAAGCAGGGTGGCAATAATACAGCCTTGATGTACTCCTTTTCCTATTTGGAACCAGTCTGCTGTCCCATGTCCAGTTCTAACTGTTGCTTCGTGCCCTGCATACAGGTTTCTCAAGAGTCAGGTCAGGTGGTCTGGTATTCCTATCTCTTCCAGAATCGTCCACAGTTTATTGTGATCCACACAATCAAAGGCTTTGGCATAGTCAATAAAGCAGAAATAGATGTTTTTCTGGAACTTTCTTGTTTTTTCAATGCATTAACAAACTTAAATTTAGAAGACTGTTTTGCACATCAGGATAAGATTGAAGTGATGGATTTTACATTCACCGATTTAAAAAAGGCTTCCTGGTGGCTCAATGGTAAAGAATCCACCTGCCAACAGGGAAGATCCCTTGGTTGGAAGATCCCGTAATATAGGAAATGGCAACCAACTCCAGTATTCTTGCCTGGGAAATTCCATGGACAGTGGAGCATGGTGGGCTAATGCTCATGCAACTGAAACAACTTAGCAACTAAACAACAACAAAAATTTAGGCAATAGATAATTTGACCTAAGCAGAATACACAAGAATTTTTTAAGGACAATCCTATCATTCATCTCATTAATTTCTGTTAAGATATCCATGTTATGAATTTCCCTCTGTCATGTATGTATATATATAGACAAAGACATCAATTGTATATGTTTTGAGTAAAATGGTCTTTAAAAAAGTTAAATTTTAGCATGTGTTTTATGAGACATTGTTTTTAAAGCATTAGTTGTTTAAAAAGCTAACAGAAGTATATCTAATTCGGTTCAGTTCAGTTGCAAAGTCATGTCTGACTCTTTGCGACCCCATGGACTGCAGCACGTCAGGCTTTCATGTCCATAACCAACTACTAAAGCCTACTGAAACTCATGTCCACTGAGTGGGTGATGCCATCCAACCATCTCATTCTCTGTCATCCCCTTCTCCTCCCACCTTTAATCTTTCCCAGCATCAAGGTCTTTTCCAGTGAGTCAGTTCTTCACATCAGGTGGCCAAAGTATTGGAGTTTCAGCCTCAGCATCAGTCCTTCCAATGAATATTCAGGACTGATCTCCTTTAGGACGACTGATTGGATCTCCTTGCAGTCCAAGGGACTCTCAAGAGTCTTCTCCAACACCACAGTTCAAAAGCATCAATTACTTGGTGCTCAGTTTTCTTTATAGTCCAACTCTCATATCCATACATGACTAATGGAAAAACAATAGCCTTGACCAGATGGACCTTTGCTGACAAAGTAATGTCTCTGCCTTTTAATATGCTACCTAGATTGGTCATAGCTTTTTCTCCAATGAGCAAGTGTCTTTTAATTTGATGGCTACAGTCACCATTTGCAGTGATTTTGGAGCCCCCCCAAAATAAAATCAGCCACTGTTTTCATTGCTTCCCCATCTATTTGCCATGAAATGATGGGACCAGATGTCATGATCTTAGTTTTCTGAACATTGAGTTTTGAGCCAACTTTTTCACTCTCCTCATTCACTTTCATCAAATGGTTCTTTAGTTCCTCTTCACTTTCTGCCATAAGGGTGGTGTGATCTGCGTATCTGAGGTTATTGATATTTCTCTCAGAAATCCAGCTTGTGCTTCATTCAGCCCAGTGTTTCTCATGATGTATTCTGCATATAGATTAAATAAGCAGGGTGACAGTGTACAGCCTTGACATACTCCTTTCCCAATTTGGAACATTCTGTTGTTCCATGTTCAGTTCTAACTGTTGCTTTTTGACGTGTATACAGATTTCTCAAGAGGCAGGTCAGGTGGTCTGGTATTCCCATATCTTTAAGAAATATTTAATTATAGAAATCTAAGTCAGAACCTTATGTGACAACATATGTTCTACTCATCTATATCTGCTAAATTGGCACAGAACATGCAAGTTGAGTTATGTTTTGTCTACAATGGGAATATAATGACCTAAGTATTTTTCAGTTATACTGAAGAAGTACTGAAGGCCTTGGGATGTTTAAAAATATTCATGTATATAAATATATCTAAACTGAAACTGATTGACACTTTATACTGTCCTATTGAAATAATTACAAGAAACCTTTCTTTTGATATGCCTAGCATTACCTGTTGAAACACCTGGATCCTCATATCAAATAAACAGCTCTATTTGCCACAGTTTCTCAGGTCTCTTTTAGGTAGTACTTAAGAAAAAAAATGATAAAAGCATATAAAGCAATAGTACACATACATTTAGAGATTAGAAGTGACTTACACATGTCTCAAATTGGTAATGGGGGTGAGCATAAAAATTTGGGATGTTGAATAAGCAGATCATGTGTAATAGTATCTATGTATAATACAAAGAATAATTTTTTGCTTATTTCTAAACATCTCTAAAAGTATTTTTGATAACAGGGCTCACTTTTGTGTCTATATACACACATTATAATTCCTATCATACAATTGAATGGGTTTAGGGGACATGAGTGAATAGCTCCACAAAACACTGATCATGTATGCATCTCCTCAAAATGATGCAGCATGGTAGCACTGCTATAAAGGAAAGAGTGTATTTATTTGATGAGCAGCAAACCATTTCATACAAAGTTAACATTTGAGGGAAAACATGCATTAGCTTTTATTACTGCATCAAGTCCAGTAAGTGTCTGTCAAAAGAACACAACTGAAAATTGTAAAGCATGCAGCATTCTCATATAGTACAAAAACCAGTTTCCTGTCCAATTACTCACCAGGACTCAGCATTATTTGTCAAAACTCGATGACTCCTTCAGTTTTAAATTCTTAGTGACCTTGCTAGCAGTGAAGCAGGAGATGAAAGAATCTAAGATGAGTCAGAAACCACAACACTATACTTGTGTGTATGTAAGTATACTTTGTATGTATGCAAGATACTTTTGTTTCTGCATACACCCTGGCATTTGATGTTGCTAATTTGTATACAATGATGCTGTATATATATGTATAAAGAATATATATATGATATCTTCAACACATGTCTAAATGTACACAATTCAGTACTACCAACTATAGGCACAATGCTTTTCAGCATTTTCTATAACTTATTTAACTAGTGTTATCAGGCCCTTTCCAGATTCTTGGGCAGCAGTACCACAGAAATGAATATCACACCCTCAAGATTCTTAGGAAAGCAAACTTATTTTGAAAATATAGTTTTTGCACAAGAGAGAAGACAGATATATTTTCAACTCCCCTAGAACTTTTAAGGAAGACATTTTCAAGGCACTGTGAGGGTGCCTTATCAGTATGTGTACAATTTTTAGACTGGGTGGTATCGGGTGAAGTTTTGAGCATCATCAATCTTACAGTTTCAACTGTTCTGGGACCTACATGCTTGCAATCAGCATTTTTCATCTGGGAGGGTGGGGTGAGGGGGTCTTCTTCCTGCAAAAGCAACTTAGGAATATTTGTTGGGCCTGTATCCATATCTTTCAGGGAACTGGGAGTTTGGTGATTCTACAAGGTGACAAATGTATAGTCCTGCTCTTGATTTTTGGAAATTATGTACATAAATTGATGGAACAGAGATAGAGCTAAATCTTTTACTCTTGTGGGTCTTTGGTTATCCTCTGTGAAGCCCAAGTCTTTAGCACTT